AAGAATCTAACGTTACAAAGGTTGTGTTCCTACTGTCGTGGTTCACTACCTAAGTCCGATATTCCCATGAACTAATATTAATTTTCAACTGTCGTTCCATCAATTAATATCTTTAAACATGCAAGTAGTGGCCAGTTACAAACATGAAATAAAAGCAAGAATATCAAATATTGATCAATGGAAAAATCAAAGTATCATGAATCAAATAAACCAAATAAATCCGGTGGCTACATCCAAGCCCTAGGTTATAGAACTTTAGGCTCTAAACATTATTAAAATTGATGATGCAACAATAATAATATTCATGATCCAAAATTCTGAAATTAAAAGTAAAACTAGAATAATGGAACCAGTTGCAAAACAGAGCCGCAAAGACCATCCGGCCGTGATGGACAACTCAAAAGCTCTCGCCCCAAAGTTGGTCGCCACTGTTGCTTGCTTCTTTGTGTGCGTCCGACTCCTACTTATTCTCTGCTGCTGGAGCTTCAGGTCTGAAGATGAAGATGATGGCAATGATGCATGGATAGGGATGATGGAAGCAAGGTGGTGAAGATGGTGGGTGCGTGAGGTGCGCAAGGAGGAGAAGCTGCTGCTTGCTTGGTCTAATGGTGATGTGCAGCCGTGAAGAGGAAGAAGTTCCAGCGGCCAACTTCGGTGTTTTTTTCGGTCAAGTTCGGTTCAAAAAATAAAATCCTAATCCTCCTTTCATAGACTTTCGACAAAACCCTACTTCCGGAAAATTATTTTTCCAAGCCAATTAAAATTTTTACACCTCCCGAATTAATTTTTTTTTATTCACCGAAATTAATTCGGCCAATTTCCATAAACAAAATTCCAAAATTCCTTGTTTATTCCTCCAAGTCTTCGAGTGTTCCAATTTCTTCCTCATCAATTCTTCTAATCTTCAATTCCTCCTCATTGAGTTGCTTTTTTTTCTTTATTTTAGCCCAATACTTCAACAATTCTTTCATTTGAGTACAATCCCTACAATAAAAAGGTAAAATCATATAAAATAACAGAAATGTATCCAAAATATTGGCAAAATCTCGCGTAAAGTAATATTAAAAATAGATAAATTATATGCACATCAAGTGTGTGACCCCATAGGTTTCTCTAAGTCGAGGCAATAGATATCGAGCATAACTTTTATGTTAATTGTGTAGACATAAATTAATTCTTATACTTTATCAATTGTTTGCATTATTATAAGCTTATGTCTAAGGTTCATGAGAGATGTCTTGCAACATTCCATGACAACCAAGTCTCGAGAAAAAGTCAAGTGAAGACTTTGTAACCTTTCAACAAACTAGTTAACTGTGTAATTAGTACACCTTCACCTTTTATCATATCCCATAACATAGAGAGATCATTGTCATCCTCTTTGAGTATATGCTAATTTATTTCTTGTTCCTGAAATATGACTTCTTCAGATATTAAATTAGAAATGTCTTTCTAATTTAATTCTTCTGCTTTGCGCAAAGATTTTCAAGTCAATACTTCAACAAGTGGCCATAGAGATATCTCTCCATTATAAATTGGAGGGTGAATCCTTTAATGATCATTCACCACCTTTCCGCACTTGATATCATACGAACGTCAACGATCATTACTTTGTTAAGAGCAACTACAAGTGAAATCAAATATGATAATCCATGCTCAAGGTACCATGATGATCTTAAGTCTAAGGATCATTTACACCTAGAACATTTAGAGATAGTCCATTGACAAATATAGAATTTGTCTTGTTGGGTTTATCCAATGTACTTGTCTTCTAACAAGCATCCATGTCCTAGCTTAGTCAATGAGATCAACCAGTTCCTACAATAGGAACATGCTTAGAACATGCTAACCTACCTGCATTAGTAATGTCCCTTATTAAAAATGCTTTGGTTAGGGATGTTTCTTATTAATAACTTTGTTCCAAGTAATCTCATCATCACAACTTTCTTGTAATTTACTTTGGGTTATTAATAATGGGACTTCATTAATTAGTTGCAATACAATTTATGTAAATAATAGACAACATTAATGAATATGGGACGAATGATGCATGCATGAATAAAAGTGATCACCAAATAAGAGTGTTGATTGGGTTTAGGGCACAAACACTTACAAACTCCCTTGACCTAAAGCCAATCACTCATACATTTAAATCCGAGTGAATTTACATGTCTATCATGTTTCTCTTGGGAGAGAGCTTTGGTCCAAGGATCTGCCAGGTTATCCTCCGATGGGATCTTCTCTATTCTTATGTCATTCCTCGCAATGATCTCTCTGATCAAATGGAACTTCCTCAATACATATTTGGATGCTTGATGAGACCTTAGTTCCCTTGCTTGTCCAATTGCCCCCGTGTTATCACAAAACATGGTAATGGGTTCGGCAATGGAGTGTACTACATCAAGTTCACCAATGAACTTCTTGATCCAAACTGCTTCTTTTGCAGCCTCGCTAGTAGCAATGTATACAGTTTCGGTTGTAGAATCAGCTATAGTCTCTTATTTAGAACTCTTCCAAACTATTGCACCACCATTTAGGATAAAGACATATCCAGATTGTGATCTAAAATCATTAATATCAGTATGGAAGCTTGCACCCATGTATCTCTGGATTTCTAAATTGGAGTCTCCATAAATTAAGAATAAATCCTTAGTTCTTCTCAAGTATTTAAGAATACTCTTCACGGCACCAATGTTCTTCACCAGGATTGGACTGATATGTGCTCATAACACTTAGAGCATAGGAGATGTCAGGTCTAGTACATAACATTGCATACATTATAAAACCAATAGCTGAAGCATATGGTATCTTTTGCATGCGATGTTTATCCTCATCTGTCTTAGGGCACATACGTTTAGACAAATGTATTCCTTGCCTCACAGGCAACAATCCCCTCTTAGACAGATTCATGCTAAAAAGCATTAGCACTTTGTCTATACACGAAGATTGGGAAAGTCCTAGAAACCTCCTTGGTCTATCTCTATAGATCTTTATTTCCAAAATATAGGTTGTTTCTCCCATATCTTTCATTGAAAAATTCTTGTATAGCCAAAGCTTTACTGATTAAAGCATTGGTATATCATTTCCTATAAGTAGTATGTCATCTACATATAACACTAGGAATACCCTTGCATCTTCATTAACCTTTTTATATACACAAGGTTCATCTAGATTTTTGATGAAACCAAACTCTTTCACTATTTCATCAAATCGAATATTGCAACTCCTAGATGCTTGTTTAAGTCCATAAATGGATCTTTTAAGTTTGCACACCTTATTGGCTTCACTTGATGAAAAACCTTCCGGTTGTGTCATGTACACATTCTCATGCAAATTTCCGTTAAGGAATGCTGTTTTGACATCCATTTGCCAGATCTCATAGTCATAATGTGCAGCTATAGCAAGCATAATTCGGATAGTCTTAATCATGGCAATGGGCGAGAAGGTTTCATCATAGTCAACTCCTTGTCTTTGCTTAAAACCTTTCGCAACTAGCCTTCCCTTGTAGGTAACAACATTACCATCCATGTCAGTCTTTGTTTTGAAGACCCACTTGCATCCTATGGGATTTATCCCATTGGGCGGATCAACTAAAGTCCAAACCTCATTTTGATGCATGGAGTCTATCTCGGAGTTCATGGCTTCAAGCCATTTGGTTTTGTCTATATTAGATAAAGCTTCCTCATATCTAGAAGGTTCATCATCTTCTATGATGTAGGCATCATTGTGCTCAACGAGATTGAATCCATATCTCTTTGGAGCATGATGTTCCCTAGTAGACCTACCAGGACCTTGTGTACTTTGAGCTAATTGTTCTGCCTCATCCACATGAGACAATTGCTCTTGTCCCATCGATTGTTTAATGCTTGTTTGCTCATCTTGAACTTCTTTAAGATCTACCTTGCTCCCACTCTCTTCCTGGAGAACATACTCCCTTTCTAGAAAAACAGCATGTTTTGAAACAAACACCCTTTGCTCAACGGGATTATTGAAATAATATCCAAGACTCTCTTTTGGATATCCTATAAACAAGCATTTTTTGGATCTAGCATCTAGCTTGCCCAATTCCATTCACTTCACATAAGCAGAACATCCCCAAACTTTTAAATGCTTTAGGGATGATTTCTTTCCACTCCATAACTCATATGGAGTAGTCTCAATTGATTTGGTTGGAACATGATTAAGAATATATGACGCAGTTTCTAAGGCATAACCCCAAAATGATTTTGGGAGACTTGCAAGACTCATCATGGAACATACCATATCCAATAAAGTGTGATTCCTCTGTTCAGCTACACCATTTAATTTTGGAGTGTATGGAGGAGTCCATTGTGGGACTATTCCATGATCTTTAAGAAATTCTTGAAATTCGGTACTTAAGTATTCTCCACCACGATCAGATTGAAGTATTTTAATACATCCAATTGATTTTCCACAACATTTTTATATTCCTTGAACTTTTCAAAAGCTTCAGATTTATGTCTCATCAAATAGACATAACCATATCTAGAATGGTCATCCGTGAATGTTATGAAATATAAGAAACCTCCTCTAGCATGTATTGACATTGGACCACATACATCACTGTGTATTAGTCCTAACAACTCCTTAGATATTTCTCCCTTTCCACTAAAAGGAGTTTTAGTCATTTTACCAAGTAGGCATGGTTCGCATGTCTCAAATGATGCAAGGTCAACTGAGTCCAAATAACCGTTTTGGTACAATTTGGATATGCGATCCTTGCCTATATAACCAAGCTCTACAATGCCAAAGATAAGCTGAATTTACATCTTCTAGTTTCCGTTTATTTTTATTTATGTTGAGATTAAAAATGAATAAAATGATCCGACTTCTCTCTCTAAGTTTTTTTTCTCTGACTTCTCTCTAGACATTATTCTGTCTGAAGCCCTAATTTCAAGATAGCGGCCACTAAGCCGTCGGATGATAAAATTCCTACCTTTGCTCAAATACTACACGGATTAAAGCCTAATCCAAAAAAGATGATGAAAGGATTTGGGAGGCCACTCAACGAAGAATCCATCATACATTCAAGTCCTACTGTTTATAAAGGCGAGCCAACATTTTTGTTAACTAATGAAGAGGATGAAATGTTGGCTGAACCTTTCAAGCCTGCGCTTATAGGCATATTCTCTAAAGGTCGGCCATCTATGGAGTATTTATGGACTCAATTTCAAAAAATAGGGTTTAAAGGCGAGTTCTCGCTGGGTATGTTGGATCACCGGCATATTATGATTTGCTTTCATCAAGAGGATGATTTCCAAAGATGTTGGATCAAGAGTCTTTTGATGTTCGACAGTCATGTCATGCGAGTGTTGAAGTGGACGCCAAATTTCAATCCGGATCATGAGTCTTCGATTGCGCCGGTTTGGGTTGCGTTCCAATTCATCGGTTTAATGAAGCTTATTTGCGGAAGTTAGCAGGGACTATAGGCACTCCTTTGAAGATCGATGTCCAAACTTTGAATATGTCAAGACCATCGATTGCAAGGGTTTGTGTAGAGGTGAATTTATTACATGATCTTCCAAAACACATCAGGCTTGGTACATCTGTAAATTCGTATTTTCAATCAATCACTTATGAGAACTTGCCAGATTACTGTTTGTGTTGTCGAAAAATAGGGCATGCTGAAATAGACTGTCAACATGTGAAGGGGAACAGGAGTGAGGCAGAGGGCGCGCAAAAAAACCCTAAGGTTGCGGAAGAGCAAGCGAAAAAATATGCTGCTACGGATGTTTTTAAAGGTAATGTGATTGCTAACAAGAATACATGGAAACAGAAGGAAGCTTCTCTCTTGATCGATGAGGTTGTTGATAAAGGTAAGAAGGTTTCTACAGCAGGCATGAACTCCAAACGAATAGATGAAGATCACTTGCAGGAGAATTTAGTCGTAAATACAGAACCTAAAGAGTCATCTTCAGGAATAGTTGCGGCAGAGAAGGATAAAATTCCAATTGATGTGATTGATAACACTCCACCAAATTAGTTGAATGTCTCGGAAAGGAAGATCTCAAAGCAACAACTAAGTTCTACAATTGAAAGGAATGCTTCAGATGAATGTTGTTTGGAATCGGAGGGTGCTGGAATCAACGTGAACTTGACAGAAATCAAGGAAAACAGCTCGTTGTTTTCGTTCCGCGACTGAATCTGTCTTCTCGATTCGACGTGTTGGCAGGGATGGATGATAATCCGTTGATTGAAGATGGCACAGACGCAGCTGAAATTGAGGGTCATGAATTAAACAAGTCTGATGAAGTCGAATCTGAATTAGAGAAACTACAAGTGGACGTTGCGACTAGAGATAGTGATAAGCGTAACTATGCTAGTGATGAATAGACATTGGAAATTCGACGACTGAAAATCCCTTCAGATTATCAGGGTGGTGGAATCAGATGAAGAAGGAAAGAAGAAAAAACCTGGAAGGCCTAAGGGTTCTGTAAAAAGCAACAAGCCACAAATTACAGAAACTCAAAAATCATCAAGGCTCAACTAAGATCTTGCTCTAACCGTTTCCAATGAGTAATCAACTAATTTGGAACATCCGCAGTGTAGGGAATAAAGCTTCTCGTTGCCGTCTTAAGTCTTTAATTTCTACACATTCTATTTCAGTTGTTATTTTATTGGAACCTATGTTACCATCTAATAAGTTGGATGAGCTGAAAAATAAACTTAGTTCAAGGAGGCATTTTCATCTAATACAAGGAAGATTTGCGTTTCTTTCTCTTCAGATTGGTCTGTACAGTTAGTGGGAGGTTCGGAACAGGTACTGCATTTTGCGATAAAAAGTTCAAGGGTTGCTGGTAAGATTTTTATCTCGGTTGTTTATGCGAAATCGACAAGGAATGAGCGGCGGTCTTTATGGTCAGATTTGCAGCGGTATTTTGATCAACTGAATGGAAGTCCATGGATGATTGGAGGGGACTACAATGTGATTAGAAATCTGGATGAATACGAGGGAGCTTAACAGCCGGATTGGGAGCTATTGATGATTTTAATTCTTGGATTAATCTTTGCGGGCTCTTTGAAGTTACTCCATTTGGAAATCCATTCACCTGGGCTGGTAACCGACCGAGTGGTCGAGTTTTGAGGAGACTTGATCAAATTCTATGTAACCAGGCATGGATAAAATCTTTTCAAGAATCTTCGGTACATCACTTGAGTGTCAGACCATGCCCCCTTGCTGCCTCACTTCAAAGCTGAAACAGAAACACGGCCTAGTATATTCAGGTTTCAAAAAATGTGAAAGCGGGACAATATCCTGGATATTGTTAGAAGTAGCTGGGAGCAGCCGATGGAAGAGTCCGGAATGTTGAGATTTTCTTTAAAATTGTGTCGGCTAAAAGTGTGTTTGCGGCAATGGAATAAGAAGGAGTTTGGAGATGTCTTTCTAAATTTAAAAATTGCTGAGGAGGCAGTTCGTGAAAAAGAGATGGAGTATGATCAATTGGGTTCAGTCTCAGTGAGAGTGGAGTTGAATCGAATACAAGCCATTTTGCTTCAACGATTGCGAGAGCAGGAGAATTTTTGGCGGCAGAAATCGAAACTTAAATGGCTAAGGGATGGTGATGCCAATACAAAATTTTTTCATGCCTCCCTGACCGAAAAGAAAGCTCGTATGGATATACACAAAATTAGGAGGCAAGATGGTTCTTGGATCTCTGATAGAAAAGAAATTGAAAAGGAAGCAGTCTTGTTCTTCAAAAATCTTCTAAAGGAGGAAAAATCGGATAATCAGGAGGAAGCAACAAAAAGGATTCTAGCGTGTATTCCAACAGTTTTGGAGGAGGATGATAATGCTAGTCTCTTGCAAGCGTTTCAACTAAATAAATCAAAGCGGCGGTATCTAGACTTGATCCTGAAAGTTCCCCCGGAAATGGATTTGGGGGTGTGTTTTACAGGCATTGTTGGAGCGTAATCTATCCAGACTTGATGGATGCTTGTATGGATTTTATAAATGGAACCCCGTTGCCGAGGGCAATCACCAGCACAATAATAACTCTGATTCCGAAGAAGGTGTCCGCTACCTCTTTTGCCGACTTCAGACCAATTAGCTTGTGCAATTTCATCAACAAGATTTTTACAAAGATCCTTACTGAAAGAATGAAAAAGATCCTTCCTGGATTGATTTCAAAAGAGCAATCAGCTTTTTTAGAGGGCCGTGATATAATGCATAACATCCTCCTCACTCAAGACCTAATTCAGTTTCTAGACAATGGGAGGTAACTTGATTTTGAAAATAGACATGATGAAGGCATTTGATCGAGTCTCTTGGGGTTTTCTACAGCAAATTCTTTTGAGATTTGGTTTTCATCAAAGCTTCATTAATCTGGTGATGAGCAACTTATCTAGAAGCTGGTTTTCTATCCTTATAAATGGGAGTCCAGTGGGTTTCTTTCAAGCTTCTCGAGGAATAAAACAAGGCGATCCTCTATCGCCTTACCTTTTTATCTTGTTGTCTGAAGCACTTACAAGGAATATGCAAAAGTTGACTAGGGAAGGAAGAATAGCTTCGTATGGAATGCCATCTAAAACATTTCTTCCATCTCATCTATGTTTTGCGATGACTTGATTATCTTTATAAAGGGCTTGAAAAAATCGCAGCAGCAGTTGATTATTTTCTTTCAGGATTATGAGGATGCTACTGGTCAAAAGATGAATAAGCAGAAGAGCACTTATCTGGTTTCGGAAAAGAGTGGAATGGGACATATAGCTTTGATAGAAGAGACTTTGCAAATGCAAAGGCGAGTTTCCCTTTCATGTATTTGGGGTGTAAATTATTCAAGGGGCGAAAGAAAGGAGAGTATTTTCAGCACATCCTTGATGCTTTTAATGCCAAGCTGTCGAGTTGGAAGAATAAATTCTTATCACAAGGAGGAAAACTATTGCTGATCAAGCATGCACTTTCTGTGATTCCACTTCATACCATCGCAGCCATTGTTCCCCCTAAATCCATTTTCGAGAGTATTGAACGTAAATGTCAAAACTTTCTATGGGGGGAAACAGAGTAAGTAAGCAACATTGGAGAGCTTGGCGCAAATTGACTTTTCCTATATCAGAAAATGGACTAGGTATTCACAATCTGTCACATGTAACCCAAGCCTTCTCCATTAATTATGGTGGAAATTGCATACCAACCAAGGTCTTTGGGCGAAGTTTATTGACTCTCTCTCTCCACTACTCAGAAAGGGAATACTTCTTGGTCAAGAATTAACTCGGTTAATCATCTCGCGGAAGCAAGAAGTTCAAAAATAATCCGAAATGGTTCATCATTTTTTTGGCATGATTTTTGGCTGGACACTGGTACTATGGACTAATTTAGAGGATCCTCCAACATCGGATTTAAGTGTAAAAGATTTTTTTCTTTCCAAAGATTTTTTTTTATTGTTTTTTCAGGGTTGCTAGGCGAACAAAAGGTGGACCAGCTGCGAAGAATGGACTTCACTTTCTTGGAGGAAGAAGATGTACTTGTGTGGAAACCAAGATCAACGGGGCATTTTTCCATTGCATCAGCATAGGAGGAAACTCGTCAACATAGAGAAGAAATTCTTCCCCTTAACAACCTTTGGAATAAGCTCATTCCTTTAAAAATCTTGTTTTTTGCATGGAAACTTTTTAATCATTTGCTTCCTTTTTCAGAATCCTTGCAAAAAATTGGTTTTGCTTCAAACCCATCGAGATGCCCTTTTTGTCATGCAGCTGAGGAAACTATTGATCATATTTTTTATGCATGTCCAAATATAATGCTTGTGTAGAAATATTTTGCTGCTCTTTTTGGAATTCTAATTCCAGACAATTCAGGATGGTGGACTACTCTTCAAACTTGGCAAAGAATGGGGAGTTTCACCTCAGCCAAAAACTCCATTTTAATGGCCACACCGATTTTCCTTTTATGGGAAATCTGGAAGCTGAGGAACAAAGTCATTTACGATGGTTTCACTTTTTCTTTACTTTATTTGCATAAGGAAGTTAATTATGATATTTCAAATATGTTAAGTGTACATGAATTGCAGGCTAGGTCTTTGGAGGAGCTTCATGAGCTAGAAGGTCCTTTTAGAGTCAAGGTGGGGAAACCAAAGGGTAAAGTAACAAAGATACTGTGTTGGCAACCTCCAGACCCATGAAAAGTTGTACTTAACACTAATGGATTGGCATTTGGACAGCCGGGTAATGCTGGTTGGGGTTATGTCCTTAGAGGAGAAAAGGGTGTTTTTATCTTTGCAGAGTGCGGCCATATGGGCATAGCCACAAGCTTTGAAGCTGAACTCGCAGGAATTCTTCATGGACTTAAAACTTGTGAGGAAAAAGGAATACATCAAGTTATCATACAAACGGATAACGCCAGTATTGTTTCATTATTGCACCATCGTAAACTTTTTTCCTGGAAGCAATACAGAACTCTTAAAGCAATTTAAGAGAAGATGAGTGCTACCACTTCGACAATATATCACATTTATCGTGAGATAAATAGTGTTGCGGATGATCTTGCCAGGCAAGGCTCTATGGGAATCACATTGCAATATCCTTCACAAGATTGTGTTCCTACATCTATGAGAGGTAAGCTATACTTTGATCGGAATATTTTTCCTTATTTAAGGATTAGATAGTTAAATGTATAGAATAGGCAAAAGTTGGAGAGGTCATGGGTTTTATGTTGTGAATCTTTGTAAGACACTCTCCTATTTTCTTTTCTTAGTTTTAAATACACAGAATGAACTATCAGGGAATAGTTCTTAGAACGTTCTTTGTAAGGCAGTTCATAGATACTTTTTGTTAGAGTACCGTCATAGGGTTTTTAGATAAACTTTCTGTAAGATGGTCTCTTTTGAATTGGATAAGTCTTAAGCACTGCCTTTTGTAATTTTTACTTTATATTAATAAAATCGGGGAGATGCCCGCCAGGTACCGTCCTGGTTCTCTTAAAAAAATTTTTTTACTTATGTTGAGGATAGGTTCACTTGTGTTCAAACCATAGTGTCCATTTGTTAA